CACATAGAACGATGAGGTTGCTCTGAAGGCACTCCTGGGGCCAAGGAGGACACACAGTTGAGGTGCCTTCTCTTTCCTTCCCTCAGCAAACCCTGTGGTGTCCCCTTAGGAAACAACTCTTCCAAGTTTCTCTCCTGGGTGCCTGCAAAGGCACACAGGCAATCAGAGACAGTGCACATCAATTAAAAGCATGGTTTATTTTTCTATCAAATCCCCAATCCATGTCTAGCCAGTGGATCAAAGGTACATGAAGTCCTAAAATAGACCAGGGTGGGGTGGGGACATAAAAACTTTGTCAGGGAAAGGGGGGGCACTAAAACCTTTCTGCAAAGCCCCTGGGTATTAGGGAGCAGATGGAAATCAATGCAGCCACTAAGGGGCTCCCTGAAGGTCCTCTGGACGCCCCTCTTGCTGATGCTTCTGTGCACATGAAGGGGGCATCCATATATCTACAGCTGCACCAACATCCTACCTTCATGTCACTCTGGTCTGAAAAGCTAGAACCCTGGCTCCTCCCAACTTATAAAGACTCAATAACAGCCCAAAATATCTGTGTTCAGTTCTTCAAACTGTAACTGAGTGCCATTTGCTAGGCACAGACTAGGCACTGGGCAGTGATTTTGCTGATTCCAAGAGGAGCACACGGTGCTGCTGCGAAGACGGCTCTCCCCTGAGTGCGGAAGGATGCTTTCGTGGGTTAGGAGAACCACTCCCTCCGCCGACACCAAGCAGGGTCAAGCACGAACAGACGCTGGGCTGTGAGGACAGACGTCAGCTTCCTTCGACAGGCGCAGCCACAGAAGAACCGACGGCAGGCTCTAGACAACCGTGGAATCCGCCCCGCAGTCCACATAGTGCTGTGCTTCCGTGGCGCTCTGGGATGTGTGGCCAATGTATGCAAGCTGCACAGAGGTCCTAGCCAGAAGAAAACCAAGAAGAGGCTGACTAAACAGGAAAAACCTCTTTTCTTCCAAGTCGAAGGGATAACGGTCATCTGGGTCCCAGGCACTATCTCCATGGTTACGTAACTAGGAGGCCAGCGGACCTATGTCCAAAAATGCTGTGTCACGAGGTCACTTTCCGGATCGGCAGCTATTAACCGGGGATGATTTTACCCCACGGAGCTTTTGGCAACATCTGGGTATCTCTGGGTAGTTACAACTGAGTGAGGTGGAGGGGGTGAGCGTTCCCAGCAGCACACAGAGACAGGGAGGTCACTCTAAGCACCCACAGTCACTGATAAGGAAGAACTCCCCGGCCCAAATGCCAACTGTGCCAAAGCTGAGAAACCTCACTCAAATCCTCGGATTTCAGATGCCTGTCACAGTTTCAAGACTGGTGACTCTGTCACCAGAGAGGAAACTGGTCAAATACGTAGTACTCACACTTTGAGAAAGCCGGTCTGTTCTTTACTCTCGAGGATTCTGACAGGGCCACACACTTAGTTAAACCAGACCCTATTTCAGGCAACATTTCTTTTAATTTTTTTTAAAAAAAATCTTATTTTATGTACGTAGGCGTTTTGCCTACATGTACGTCTGTGCACTACATGTATGTGTGGTACCCACAGAGGCTAGAAGAACATATCGGATCCCCTGAAACATAGACAATTGTGAGCCACCATGTGGATGGAGCCTGGGAATCAAACCTGGATCCTCTAGAAGAGCAGCTAAGAGCTCTTGATAGCTGAGCCCTCTCTCCAGACCCCGGCACATGATGTTTAACTGTTTGTCAGGAACCTGGCAACCTGTGCGGGGTTCTGGACTTCACCTCTAAAGGACATCACGCGTCTGCCGGGTCTGTGCTGCGAGGCAGGTGGCGGCTCTTTTAGCCACGTGCCTCTAGTGAGTGCTGGAAGCTCCCAGGAGGCTTGGTGAAAAGCCAGCAGGAGATAGGAAAGGGAACATACCTCATGAAGATCATGATGTTGTGCACCAGGATGGCAGGTACCGTGCAGAAGAAGCTGCAACCACAAATATGGACACGGTCACTAGGCTGGAAACAGTAAACCAGGAACAACACAATCTCCCAGGAGACCCAGCAGGACAGTGTGGAGTTACACTGTCAAACCATTTGGGGGTGCCTTCTCTTCCCTATGCTTCCCCTTCAGACCGAAGTACTGCCAAGGACCGAGACCCTCAGAGTGTCATTCTCAATGTCCCAGATTGGGCTCCTGGTTTTCCGAAGCCATGGCGTATTTAAATGCTAGAGTTGCTAATGTTTCTCTTTAGACATCCCAGCACTTCAGTCACACATCAACTGCTATCTCCTCCCCCAAGCTCTCCAGGAAGCCGGAGCTCAGGAGTTTGCAGGCCAAAACTGGGGTTTAAGGCAGAGCCAGGGAAAGAGCCAATCAAGGAGGGCTCCGTGTCCCTCCAGGCAGACAGCACAGCAGAGAACTCTGTCCTTACTACAAATACGAAGATGGTCCTCCCACCTCAGCCTTCACTGTAAAATTCACCTGAAAACGAGACAAGACCTGGCATCAGCCTGGAACAAGCAAGCTTGACATCACAGCATTACTGCTGGCAACCTACAGACCTGGAGGTTCTTCCATCACATCCAAAGCACCTTCCCTAGACAAGGGAGCCCAAGGAAGTACTTCCCACCCCGTCCCTTTCCAAGCCTCTGGGCTCCAGGCTGTAACTCCACCTCTTCCAGACTTGGTAACTGCCCCTCTCTCATCAATTACTTTACTGCCCACGTACTTAAACGCTAGCTGTTTGTTTGTACTTAAACGCTAGCTGTTTGTTTCTGTCTCTTTCCCGTTGCTCACAGTGTTCCCACAGCACCTGTCCTCCTCCTTGGTATGTGAGCAGAGAGGCCCTTGAAGAACAACATACCAGGTGCTCACTCCGAGGGGGAATGACCGAGACGTTAGTGGTCATGTATGTGCCAACCACGGCGTTCATGTATTGAACCTGGCTGAACAGGTTGGTCACTGACACGGAGTAGAAGTTGGAGTTTCTGATTTTCAAGGTGGCCTGGAAGGGGCAAGAGAGGAGATCGATGTTGAGCTTCCTGGTCTCGAGGTTGGCAAATGCACAACCCAGGAAGTGAGGCCCTACGTCTTACCATGACATGGAGCACTACCAGGGAGTCCTGTTTATTAAATGTGACTTTCACCACTTTGATGCCACTATCATCCACGCGGACTGAATGTGGAAACAGGAAGAAAAAGACCAAGCCAGATGCCAGGAGACAGAGCAGGACCGACAGGAGGACATACTGTTTACTGTAAATGATAGCACAGGGCAAGGTTGGACTGTTGGATATCAAACTCTCAATGGTCATAATTAATGCAAAATGGAGGGCGTGAAGGGGAAGTACAAAGACCCCAGAACCACTCACTAGGCAAGAAAGAAGGAAGCTGGAGAAGACTTTTAACCCATTTCAACACTGTTTACTCTGAGAAGAGGAACGGGTCATTTTACTTCCTAAAGCATCTGCTCCTCTCCCAGGACACCCTGCTTCCCCGATTCCTTCCAATCCCATCCTTCCATTTGACCCTCAACATATTTCTAGACTCACATTTCTGTCACACAAGACTGTAACAGAGACAGGGACATTTCACTTAAGCAAAAGCACCAAAGGAAATGGGGGGGGGGCAGCGGGAGGGCGCTAGGGTACAGCGCAGCTGAAGGCTGCTTGTCTAACAAGCGAGTCTGGATTCAAGTCCCAGCATGACACGCACACACACACACACGTAGTGACATTAAACAAGTACTTGATACAAGGACAGACATCTTTTTCAAATAATTAGCTGGTAGCCTTTCCTAAAAAGGAGTCGGGGACAGAAAGAGGTGCTAGCGGACGAGAGCAGGTCAACTCACGTTCTCTGAGGACGCAGCCTCTGGTCACTGTGGGGGATCAGAGCCACCAACTCATTGAGTTGCTCTAAAAAAGCAGCAAAGACGCGTTCTGTAAAGCCCACATATTGGTGCCCTTCCTTCACACGTGCTTCAAATGGCCACAGCAAAGGCTCGTGTGGGACCAGACACTAAGACATACACTTCTGATTGCAGGAACAAGAAACTGATAAATGTAGAAATTTTAAAAAAGGAAAAAGAAAGAAAAAGGAAAGAAATATGGGAAAAATAAACATAAACCTATAGGGAATGGCACAAATTATAACAGTTTAATCAGTGTTGCCAGGGCTGTGGATCCTGGATTGTATTCTGGCCTTAGGTCTTTGGCAGTCACAGAATGTCTTTTTTTAAAAAAAATATTTATTTATTTATTATGGATACAATATTCTGTCTGTGTCTATGTCTGCAGGCCAGAAGAGGGCAACAGACCTCATTACAGATGGTTGTGAGCCACCATGTGGTTGCCAGGAATTGAACTCAGGACCTTTGGAAGAGCAGGCAATGCTCTTAACCACTGAGCCATCTCTCCAGCCCTTCACAGAATGTCTTAAACCACCGTTTCTTCACTTTTCATTTGGCGCTCGGGAGTACATGGCTTCCAAGGTTCTTAATAGCTCTACATCAGGGACTCCCAACCCCCAGGGTCAATTTAGTAACAGCTGTTTCTAGAGATAACCCAGGCTCCACTCCTGAGCCTGTCCTCTCTCCCCACCTCCTGGCATTCTGTTGACCTCGGGCTACTGAGCCACCCTGCCTTTTTTTTTTTTTTTTGTAAAGAAGCTTTCAGGACTGCTCCTCCACAATACTGTGCCACTCCTTATTAATAAGAGCAATAGAAAAACAGCCTTGTCAACATAGCCCACAGCAGAGAAGTAAATGTATGAAGCCAGAGAGAGGCCAGGATGATAGTGTCCACCTGTGTTAGGAATCTGGGAAGTCTCAGTGAGGCACTACCTAGATTAGATTAGGTTGGCCAGCAGGCACGTCTGTGAGTGATTTTCTTAACGGGGTTACTGAAATCGGAAGGACCCTCCCTAAACGTGGGTGGCACCCGTTTCATAGGCTGGATCTTCTACTGGATGAAAAGGAAGGGGAAAACTGAATACAAGCATTCCTTGTTCTTGGCTTCCTATGACTACAATGTGACAGGCAATCTTAAATTCCGCTGTCCTGACTTCCCCTCAGTGATGGACTATGACCTGGAGCTATGAAGCAGAAAAAACCCTTCCTCCCCTAAACTGCTCCGTTAGGGCATTTTATCACAGTTACCGGAAAAGAAACCAAGGAAGTAATTATATAATAGAAGTGAAGAATGTTCCAACTATATGATCAAGAGAAGCCTGCAATCTGCCCAAGAGTATCAGGTCAGTCGGGCTGGCGACAATTTGGAGCAGTCTGTGACTATAGAGGGAGGGCTGGCTGAAGCAGACACCAGAGCTCTCCAGGATAGTTGACAGGTCTCACCTGCTGGGACGTAGCCCGCGCCTTGGCAGGTGTGACAGGTGACGCTATTTCTCCCAGTGAATTCCACATAGGGGAACTGAGCGATGGCTTCCTCCTGCTCTCTCTCAGCCTGCAAGTCCTCCGGATTGCCATCCTTCTTTCGTTGACAAAATGTACGGGCAGAGGAGGAATGCTGAGACCCCATGTGTCATTTCCTACATGGGGGGAGGGGTGAGCAGTAAATGAGCGTGTATTAGTGTCTATACCCGGTCACTATAGGAAAAAGAAAATCACTTCTACAAGAAATGTAAAATACTAAGTGACAAGTTGCTATTCTAAGTGTGGCCTGTAATTCCTACTGCGGCCCTCATTTTGCAAGTGTCCGGTGCTGTCCACCCTCCTTTCCTCCCCACCCCCCCAGGTAGCTAGGAACTGGGACCGGCCCTCGCTGGACCAGGCCACCCCTCACTGCCTGGGAAACCCAGCTCCCCAGTGGTACAGCCTCGCCGCCTTCCTCCCTGTTTGCAAACTCTGAAGGGCTAACAGGCTGCATTCCGGATAAACAAAACAACAGGCACCAAATTAATAAAAGGCCCCAGCGATCCCTCTCCTCCACTCCCAGCTGAGAAGGCAGGCTCAGGTCACGCCCCCCGCAAAAAGCCAAGTTCCGAACGCGTTCAGGTCTCCCAGGCCGGGGGAACGCGGGAGCCCCCGGACCTGAGGCGCACCAACTCCGGGCAGTTACTGTCTGGACCACTCCTCCCTCCACCTGCCCTCTCCAGCGACTCTTCCGCACGCCTCCCCCGTGCGCAGGCGCACAAATGACAAAGCCGGTGGCAGGAGGACGCAGGCGAGCGTCTGCGCCTGCGCTCTGAGCTCTGGTGCGCCCCCTCCTGCAGCGCAGCTGCAGTGCATCTAGCTGCCGGTAGAGAGCGGCAGAGAACAGTAGAGTCGCTCGTGGGCGGCCGTGGGAGGGGCGATGCTCCTCAGTAACCCAAGAAACACTAGGGAAGGCTCGCTAGAGCTTCCGGATCCGAGCGCTTCTGTATAGGAGGAGGACGGCGTCTCCTGTGTCCAAAGCCATTCCCACAGGGACTCAAAGAGTAAAGAAACCTAACACCCAGATCCTGCCCTAGGTTCCGTTCCGGTTCTGGCAGAGGATCTGAGTGCCTTGGAGCATATGCAGACCCACTGTGACAGGGGCCCCAGACCTGACTATTTCAGGACTACCATCCACAAAAAAAAAAAAAAAAAAAAAAAGGTGATGGACATAGAGGGTTCAAGAGAGCTCCCCAAAACTCAAGTGCCACAGCAGCGAATGCAACAGGTGAAGAGGGCTAAAGATGTGGCAGGATCGCCACAAGTTCAAGACTAGCTTGCCAGAGTTGGAGGCCACCAGTAAAGTGAGATTCTATTTAAACCAAAACGTAGAAAGAGAAGACTTGTTTTGATATTCTAGAACTGGATGAATAGAGACTCCGTCTTCCATACTATGGGAACTGTGGATGGTTCTTGTAACTGTCTAGACCTTATCTGTTGACCACCATTAGTCTAGGCCTGTAGTGTGAAAACAAGAGCCACCTTTGGTCCTCAGCCATCCCCTGAAATGTCTTTTTACACAGCTCTTTCTTCGAAATTTTTATGGCACTATATGTTTCTTACTTCAGTAAGTTGGGAGAAATAAACACTCAGCTAAAAATACACTGCTCAGTTCCCATTTGCAGTTGACTGATTATGTATTGCTGTTCTGGCCAATGAGGGGTAAGAGTGTAGAATTTAGGAAACACCCTTAAAGGAGGTGGAGACTCAAGGGATCCTCTGACAGTTCCTACTTGCACTTAGAGCTTGATATTAGAGATTAGAACAGCCGTATTGTGACTATGAGGCCGTGAGGAGAGTCCCACAAAAGGATAAAAGAAATGTAGTCCCTGAAAGAATACCTGGCTACTGGGTCTTCACATCTTCACAGTGGGATGCAATCCTAACAAATGCAGAAACTTTGCAAATAAATAGCAAAGTCTTGGTTTGTTTGGATGGCTGGCTTTGGTTTTCAGGTTTTTTGTTTGTTTATTTTGTTCTCTTCTGTTTTGTTTACTGTTTTGTTTTTCCAGACAGGATTTCTCTTGTACCCCTGGCTGTCCTGGATCTTGCTCTGTAGACCAGACTGGCCTCAAACTCAGAGATCCCCCTGCCTCTGCCTCCCTAATGCTGGGGTTAAAGGTGTGCATCACCATACCCAGCCAAAGACTGGGTATGTACAGACTGCCTTAGCCACACAGTGTAGGCCACTTAGTTTCTAAGCTCTGCCAGCTTCCGTTCTTAGAACACCTGCCCCCCAAGAGAGAGTAATCCAGACCTGTCTGGCCTAGGCTTTCCTACATGAAGAAGACTCTGGCAAGTAATTCACCTGTAGAATAACCCTGTTCTCTACCAAGAGATCAAATGGTACCTCTAAGAAGCCCATCCTCACAGATATGTCCCCATGTGCAGCCTCTACTGGACACCCTGCTGGTGCTAACTTGCAGATAAACCTGACGTTCACACCGTGGGTGGGCATTGTGGTGGAAGCAGGGAGAAGCAGACGGTACCAACTGGACCTGCCAGCTAGAGAGGAAGAACCTAGAACACTGAGACCTGGGGCTGCTCCACAATGGGGGAGAAAGGCTGAGAGCAGAAAACCTATGGTTGGGAAGAGGCAGGGCTTGGATTAGTGGGCAAGAAAGGGAACTTGGGACATCACCAGTAGAACCCTGAGGCTCTTTGACTGTCTGCTCCTAAAAGTGTGGCTTGGGCAGAGAGACCACACACCTGGGTCAATGGTAACTCACACCTGGAATCCAGGTGTGCAGGAGGCCCTTAGTAAATCCTTGCACAACTCCCCAGCCTGGAGGCTGGCCAGCATGGCCTGAGGGAGTAGTCCCTGTATCTTCTTGAGCCCTCTGTGGAAGAGCCTTAATTGGCCAGCACATTCCTGAGGAGACAGCCATCGCTTCTCACCTGTGTCTAGCTTCCAGATTTGTCTCACCATCCGATTTATGCATAGGGGAGTAGCTGTAGACGTGAGCTCACTGGGGCTCTCGGGTGGCCAGGGCTGAGTGGGGGCACCCGAGCATCTCTGAGCTCCCAGCCTTCCCAGTTTCTCCACAACCATCATGGGACCTAGCCCTACAGACTGAGGATAGCGAGAGCCCATAATGCTGCTCTTTCTGGAGGCCCTAGAAGAGGGAGGGCGCAGCCCCGGCCCCCTCTCCCTCCCCTATCCCCACTACTCAAGCAGGATGCTGCAGAGTTCTGAGCTGTTAATGTTCCCCTGCACTGATGGAAGCTAAGGACTTTCACTCAGACGCGTCCTTCAGGGTACTTCATTCTGCCCCTCTTGTTTATCCATAGATGGGAAACCCGTGGAAGATTAAATGACAGTCAGAGAAAACAATAGGACCGCTGCTTCCTCGCCGGTGAGCCTTACAGAGGGGCCTGCCTACTCGGCAGCCTTAGCGCCTCTGCTGAAGCCACTGTGGCACACACAGACTGAACACAGACTGAAGGGGCACGTAAGTTCTTTGAAATTGTTTGTGCTGTCATTTTTCTCACATGAACCAGAGCTCTCTGAGGCCTGGGCTCGTGTGTCTCTAGAGTGAAGACACTCTTTAAGTGAAGACCAACTCTTTAAGGCAAGGAAGGGGGGGAGAGAGAGAAAGAAAGAGAGAGGGGGGGGGAGGGAGAGAGAGAGAGAGAAAGAGAGAGAGAGAGAGAGGGAGAGAAGAATCCTTTGTACTTAAGAACTCTGCATACTTAGACATGGGGTGGGAAGCAGCTGAGGAACAGGGAAGCTGATGTCCCAACTGCAGTGGTAGGAAAGGAAGGAATGCTAAGGAACTGATAACACATCCAAGCCCCCACCCCAAGCCAAGCTCTGAGTCAGTCTGCCACCAGGTTCCGCTGGGCACTAAGAAGGAGGCCCCACTTGCAAATGCTGTCACAGATCTAGCTCAGGGTGTCCCCTGAGTATCCTAGCTGCAAGGGCTGTTAGAAATCCCTCCCCAACCTCGGGAACCCAGAAAAAAATCATATTTAACTAGAAGTCCAATTCAGAACCACCCCCAAGTGTAGCCTGGAGTTTAAAACTCCTTGATTATTTGAGGTCAACTCTCCTTTCCCAAGATCACTCAAATTCTGGGCTTTTTTTTTTTTTTTAAGACTCCAGGAGGCAGGCCACAGAAAGACCTCTTGTTCAGCCTGGGGCACACTGAACTTTCCGTCTGGGGTTGCTGTTGTGACATCTGGTCAGTCCATGTTGGATCCTGGCCCTCTAGGACCTCTAGCTCCTGTGGCATCCTGTTAGTCAGCCAGGCTGTGTGTCTTTAAGGCCTGGGATGACGGCCCTTGAATCTCCTGAAGAGCATGGCAAAGAAAAGGAATGAATAAGTCTGTGTGTGTGTGTGTGTGTGTGTGTGTGTGTGTGTGTGTGTGTGTGTGTAAGAAAGAGAATCTTGGAACATGGACAGAGTGTCACACTTACACACAGAATCCCCATCGCATGTTGTGTTCTTGGAAGCCACTGAACAGGAAGTGAATCAAGGGTAACTGAATGGAAGTAAAAAGAGATGGGACTGAGGGAAGAAGGGAATCAAGACTGCAGAGAAGAGGAGGACCCGTCGTTCCTTGTTCTTCCACCAGGGGGCGCAGGAGGCTAGTAGACTGCACCTTGAGACTCCCACAAAATCCTCAAGAGGATTGGCAGTGTACCCCTCCACAGAAAGGAAGCTGCGTAGTCCGAGAGAGGAAGCACACAACACAGACTTGCCTGCAGCTGCAGGTCGCAGTCTGGCTTCATCTGTCTGGCACAGTGGGGTAGGAAGGGATTTTGGTGCCGTTGGCAAGTCTACCTTGAAACAGGTTGATTCTTGCAGCCAGAGGCAACTGCTGGGGTCTAGTCAATCCAGAACTGGCTTGAATTCCTTCACCCATGATGTCATGAGCCATGGGAAGGTTATTCACACAGAGTTCTGTAAATCCACCCCTACCACGTACACCTTCTACCTTGAACTAGTCAAGGCCAGCCCCCACCCACCCCCAGCTCTGGCTCTCGTTCTGAGAACCAGTCTTACGTTAGGCCCTGGGACACAGTGAGGAACAGGACACATCCTGCCCTCCAGGCACCTCACTCAAAAGGCAGTGGCAGTGGTGGCGCACACCTTTAATCCCTGCATTTGGGCAGAGGCAGGTGGATCTCTGCGAGTTCAAGGCCAGCCTGGTCTACAGAGCTAGTTCCAGGACAGCTACACAGAGTACAGGTTACATACACAGAGAAACACTGTCTCAAAAAAAACCCCAACCCCACCCCCCCAAAAAAAAACCCTGTCTTGGAAGACAAAACAAAGCAAAATCAGCAACAACAAAGGCAGCAGACAGAACTCTGCCAGCATCACAAGTGCAGGCTCCCGAGCCTGGAGACCTGGATGTGAGTGCTGGCCCAGCAAGTCACCAGCTGCTTGGCCCTCACTGTCCTTAACCCTTTCCATACCTTGATATCCTCTTGGGGACAATTGTTGAAACCATAAAAAAATTAATCCACAAAAGCTTTTAGAGCAGTGCCTGCCCTTCAGTAGGCATGAGAAAAAGGCCAACTATTTTCACCCTGTTAATTGTCCACCAACAGGTCCATAGAAATTGGGATCTAAGGCACCCACAAAGTCAGCCAGGCTAGCATCCTGACAGTTCTGCCACAATTTTGGGGTTAGTCTTGGGGATCCATCAGGTAGAGCATTTGCGGCTGGCTCTCAGGTGTCTCAGGACACTGCCCATCCGGAGTTCCTGGAGGTTTCAGATCTAAAAGGGTATGTGTCCAGAGGTTCTAGAGATCCCAAGAAAGGTCACGGGGGACAGAAGAGGAATACCTGTGGGGCTGGGGGTGAACTCTCGCTCCTGGCCCAGGACACTCTCTCCTGGGTCCTGAGGTTTAGAGCTGTGTGGCTATCCTGCTGGCCCAGCCATCCCAAACAAGACAAGCTGAGGCTTTAGGAGGTGAGAAAAGGCCAGGACACCAGAGAAAGGGGGTGCAAATGCCAGGGGCTGCACTGCCATGACTAGGCTCCACTCACCTGGGCATCTTCCTCGGACCAGCATCCTTTATGGGCCCTGGGGCATTGTGAGGATGGCGCTCCTATTGCTTGACACCATGCATTGGAAATGCCCTTCGGGTCCTGTCTCCGCTTCATCTCTCTAAATCTGCTGTGGGCAGAGCTCAGAAGACTCGCTGTGCGGCCGGATGCAGCTGTTACTTTCTCCACGAAGACCTAGGGAAGGACGCTGACCCTTATCGTGGAATATTATTTTAATCGGGCAAAGATGTGCTCAGTTTGTTTATGCCGCAGAATATGACTTTAACTGTGTAAAAGACGTGTTACTTTTGTTTATGCTGCGACTGTTTAACGATGCGAGGATGTGTGTTTAATTATGTAAAATGTCGTGCATTTGTTTCACCTTGCCTGCCTAAGGTGAATAAAGAGCTGATATGGTCTAATAAAGAGCTGAATGGCCAATAGCTAGGCAGAAGAAAGGATAGGCAAGACTGGTGGGCAGAGAGAATAAATAGGAGAAATCTAGGGTTGGAAGGAAGAACAAGAGAAGGAGAGAATGAGAGACTTACCCAGTGCAAGAAGTCAGGCAGCCCCCAGCCAGCCACAGAGAAGCAGTGAAAGTAAGATATACAGAAGAAAGGTAAAAAGCCCAGAGGCAGAAGATAGATAGAGAGAAACAGGTTAATTTAAATTAAAAACAACTAGCCAGAAACGAGTCTAAGCTAGGCAGAGCATGCAAAACTAATAAGAAGTCTCCATGTCAAGCCAGGTGGTGGTGGCGCACGTCTTTAATCCCAGAACTCAGGAGGCAGAGGCAGGCAGATCTCTGTGAGTTCAAAACAAACCTGGTCTACAAGAGCTAGTTCCAGGACAGGCTCCAAAGCTACAGAGAAACCCTGTTTCAGAAAACAAAAACAAAAACAAAACAAACAAACAAAAAAAGAGGTGTCCATGTCTTGAATTGGGAGCCGGTTGACGGCCCCAAAGAAAGCTTAGTACAGGCCTTCCCTGGGGATCATGTCACTCCGAGATCTCAGGCTGCTTGTACAGTGGGCCCTCAGCATGCTCAGGGTTGGTGTCAGGGTTGCAGGCAGCAAAACCCGAGGATGCTCGTGTTCTTTATGTAAAACGGTATGGTCATTGCTTATAGCCCACGCGTATCCTATGTATACTTGTAACTATCTCTAGACTGTATATAATATATACTGCAATCTAAGTAATTGTTATACTGTATTGCTCGGGGGGAATAATAACAAGAACTTTGTTTCAAATGTGGTTGATCCTCGATTTCAGTGGGTTTGAGGATCCAACCAGCCATAGATAAGGTTTTGCTATTTCCTTGTATGTGTCAGTGTCCAAGCACACGAGTAGGTGTGAGTCACACCTCTCTGTGAGTGACAGAGGTCAACAGAGGCCAATATTGGTATCCTTCTCTATCATACTGCATTTATTTCTAGGGATAGAGACTTCATTGATCCTGTAGCTCACTGATGGGCTGGATTGGCTGGCCAGTGAGCTCCGAGGATTTGCCTGTCTCTATCACACCAGGACTTAAAGTGAACCATTATATTTAGGAATGCTTAGGCCAAGGTCTCCTGGGTTGTGAACACTCCCTAATGCCAGCTGCCATCAAAGAGTCTCCAGCTAAGTCCTAACCTCCTTGTCATGCCCATTGCTCTTATTAAACCAGCTGTGTCCTCTGCAGCCTGGTACAGGACCTGTCACATGACATCTCTGCTGTCTATTTGTGGAACTAGAGATGGGTCGTTTGCCCTTTCTGGCCTGGGTACCACCTGCACAGCACTGCAGGAGGCCTGTCTCCAAGGCAGAGGCCCTTCCTCCCACAGCCAGCTAAAGCCCAGGCAACTTGCCTTGCCAGCTCCCACGTCCCAGACTAACTCTGGGGTTTGTTTCCAGCTGCGGTTAGATTTTTCTATTTGAGAAATATTTTAAGCAGCTGGTGGGGAAGGGGTGGAGAGGCGGGAAGAGAATCACAAATGAGCATGGGAAAGGACGATTGTCTGCATGGCTCGAGCTGTCTCGGCCCGCAGCTTGGTCCCTGGTGGTGATAGAGGGGACACTGGTGGCTTCCCAGGCCAGGGGAAAGACTCTGGGCCTTCTGCAAACACTTTGTGGGGTTGATTGTGAAGCGAAGTATTTGTACTTGGAGTATGTGAGGGAAAAGGTAGACGAGATTGAGGTTAGACACTGGGGAGAACTGATTGTCAGAATCTAGGCCTCAAACCACAGGTATTTACCCAAGACCCTGTCTTTCCCCAGAACTCAACTTCCTTGTCTACTCACATTCTGTAAGGCCTCAGGCAACCCCCACCTGGCTCAGTGGCTCTTCAGGCACGCAAAACTTCCCCTCAGCTCCCCCTGCTCTCCATCCTCCTCCCTCAGGCTGATCGGCTTCCTCTTCCCTCTTTATTTATTTATTTATTTATTTATTTATTTATTTATAAGGATTTCCACTTCCTCCCCTCATCCCAATACCCTCTTGCTCCCCCCACTCCCTCTCCTCCTCCCCCTCCAGTCCCAAGAGCAGTCAGGGTTTCCCGCCCTGTGGGAAGTCCAAGTTCCTCCCCCCTCCCTCCAGGTCCAGGAAGGTGAGCTAAGTGGATTCTAGCCATAGTTAAAGGTCTTTGAGCCTATAATTCGTGATCCTAGAGAAGCTAAATAAGAAGGTGAACCTGAAGAAAATCATATAGTTATCCTCCTGGATATTAGAAGTAGACAAGATTTCCTCTTCCCTCTTTACCTTGCTCTTCATCGCAGCGCTGGACTTTGGGGTTGTCTGAGGAAACCTTTTCCTCAGTCACTTCTAAGGGGCAGACTTAATGAGCCAGCAGGGACACGGGCCAAGGGCCTGGATCAGAATCCCTGGCCACCCCGCAGGAGGATGGCTGGGATGGACCGTGGATGGACACAGAGCTCCACAGAAAACCCAGGATGGGAGAGAAACCAAATCACACAGTCAAACAGAAGCAGAGTCAGGGAGAAACAGAGTGGGAGTCAACTGTGGGGGAGGGAGAGGACAGTCACCAAGCAGGCCCTGGCTGGCCCACATGGACATTCCTGTGGCCTCTGATGGCAGGGTGGGCTCAGCCCTGAGGGCTCCTTGGTGCCAGTGTGGGGGGCCCAGCATGGGGTCTCTGGCCAGGGTAGCAGGAGGGCCTGCCCTCTACATTTTGAGTCTCCTAGGGACAGCCTCCCTTGGCTGGAGAAAGCCTGTTGGCTAGGGTGGAGAAAGTGGGTGTGGACCTTGTACAACCAAACTTTAGAAGCCTTGAGAAGCTGTGAATCGTGAGTTCTTCACAGTCTAGGGCAACCTAATATGGGGAGGCTGGGGATCTTCGTCTGAGAACCCCTGGCAAAAAGAGGGGATGCAAGAAATGCTGACCCTGAGGACAGAGCGGGGAGGGGGGCTATTAGAAGACCTGGGGTGGTGGGCAGGTGTGATAAGAACGTTATCTAGGTCAGGCAGTGGGCAGCAGGACAAGCTCAGCCAGCCAGTCAGGGTGGAAGAGGGATGCCCAGCAGTCTGCCCTGGGGACTAACCCTGGGGAAAGTGACCCAAATTTGAGCAGATTGACAGCCTTCTTAGTCTCTCCCCACGTGGTCTATACCCCTTAGGCCCCACTACCTTGCTGGGCAAGACCCAACAAGGAAAACAACAGCCTTTGAATTTGAAACAGCTTAACTCAGCTGACCCTTGTCACTCAGCTAATTCAGGCTACAGCCCTGCGACTCTCCACCGTGGGAAGCTGGGCAAAAATCAAGCATCCTAGAGACTCGCAGAGGAAACAAACAAGGGACTGTTTGCTTCCTGATACTATTTTGCACTTAGACTTCACGTGTGAAATTTCCAAAGAATGTACGTTTTCTTGTTCACTTTGAAAACAGAACACGTGTGTATGATATGTATAGTTTAAACAGCATCACAAATGAAACACCTATGCTCTACCACCCAGGTCAAGATCAACCATTACCTCATCCCGGGAGTCCTTGTCTTTGTTCCCCTTATCCCATATGCACACTCTGACTGGAGATTGTCATTTCCTTTTTTATCTTTCAAAACATTTAGAGTTTCTTAGATATTGTCATCTTTGGGTTTCACAATGGCCTTATTATTCCCATCTTATAGATGAGGAAACTGAGGCTTAAAT